CAGCCCCAGTCATGCGTGGTTCTCACGTACGGCCTCCTGAAAGTTTCTGGCGGGAAAATGGCTAACTCCGGAATCAGGAAAGCTGGGAAGCTGAGATTTTAAGGGAATGTTCCCTGTCCAAGTACAGCGTGAACAATTAACTTCCCAAAATTTGAGGACCAGTATGTCACACGTTTCTAGCTACGGGATTTTCGAGTGATCTCATTACAACACGAAACACTGCAAAACGCACGATCGCACTGGCCTGCCCAGTGGCGTCGCCAGTGATTCACACTGTGAATACCCCTTCAGAACCACATGACAAGCTTATACGCTCATTTGTGAAACCCCGATTACAGCAGTGAACCTCCGGTCCCTCCATCCAGAAACTACCTCCTTCCCGCAACAGCTTCCCATGCCCGGGATGTACGCCTCACGTTTATCTTACTCAACAATGTTCCGAAAAAAAAAGCACATTAAATTATACCCTTCACACCGCATTGTTCATTTTGTAGTGTTTTCACGCGGTTATCTCTGGCATCAGATGTAAAATCCTATTTCCGGAAGGACAGACGACGAGGAGGGAAGAGACAGGGAAAGAGCCAGCCAAAGTGTCCATCGGGCGGCGGCACCGGACTGCTGATACAGCAGCAGCAGCAGCTGTCAATGTTACGGCGGCAAGAACAAGTGCAGACGCACAAGAAGCGTACACGGCGGCGCAGCAGTTCGGCTAATTGGTTTATCGCATTTGTTTTTGTTGTCTCTATTTTATGTAAATTTCGTGCACTGTTTGCGACGGCAATTAGCGCGAGAAGCGACGAGCACAACAGAGTTACACTCCGTCACTTTTTCCTGCACTCAGAACGTACAGCACCGCGTGAATACAGCAGTAATCCGAAAAAGCGGCTTTACTGCGCAACAATCATCTCTTGTCCTGACAGTCGTCTTGGCCGGCTCCGTCCCGAAGCAGACAGTCAGCAAGAATTTGAACTCAAGGTAACCAGGCGGTCTGGCGCGACACAGTAAAACATGAAATTTTTAGGTCTATCCCGAAGTGCACGGACAATTACACTCGCAAAAATTCAAGTCAACAGCTAACTTGCCTTGGA